GAGATCTGTTAGTAGCGGAATCATTGAGGTTAATAAGTCCAACCTATCACATTCCCAGAACACTAAAAAGTACATTTTTCATCTTACATTGTCTCCCTGAGAAATCAAATGATGTTCTCCCAAGCTCCTGGGGGAAAGGTACAACTTGGGGCAGATATAGAGCAGGGTGAACGGGGCGGCCGCCCCGGGCCCCGTGCTTCAAAAAGCCCTGCGCATGCGCCGTGGCAAAGGGGGGGCCCCGCGGAATTATGCTGCCCGGGGCCCCGCAAAATGGTCATCTGCCCCTGGGTACAATCCTGTAAAGAGCCTACATAATTCCTTACAACCCTGTAAAGAGCCTACATAATTCCTTACTCACAATTAGAAACTACGGATTAGTGAATGCATTTCACACTGCTGCTGCTGCAGGGACTCTTCAGCATCCTTGTGTGAGAGAGAGAGCTTGGGAGAGTGTGCTGGCTGCAAGGAGAAAGCTTGTGCCTCTTGGAGACAAAAGTGACCGAGAGTCCCTGTCTAGGTGGAGTTTTGGCTACAAATGTATTCGCTTGTGGCAATTCATACTATGACCAGCTAACGTGGTTTTAGCCGTGTTAAATTGAGCTGGTTTGAAAAATTCTGTGCCTCTTGGAAACAAAAGTGATCGAGAGTCCCTGTCTAGGTGGTGTTTTGGCTACAAATGTATTGTGGCAATTCATGCTATGACCAGCTAACATGGTTTTGCTGTGTTAAATTGAGCTGGTTTGAAAAATTGTGACAAAATATTCTTTCATTGGAATTTTCTGCATTTGTTTATTTGTTGAAATTGAAATGTTTTTAGGGGACTAATTCTGGCAGAACTGAGGAAAGGCCCCAGTGAATCCTGTGTGTTGGATAGCTTTTGGTCAGAACCCTGCCAGCTTTCCTGTTAGCTCGATCACCTTGCATCCTCAGCAGCCTGCCAGGCATGCAGACAGGTAGCTGAGAGCCTGGAAGCCTTGGGAGTTCTGGCTCTGAGGCTCAGGTATCTTCAGCAGCTTGGGTTTCTTGGGTCCCCCTGCTCTGTAGCAGCTCATCAGATGCCCTGCCCCACAAATTAAAAAAATTGTACATTTCATTTTGATTCCGCATATAAACAAATGTTGAAATATTGTAAATTTCTGAAACAGAAAATACTTTCCTCCACCCATAAATCCTGTCTATGACCATGTTTAAAATGTGCCAGTCAAAACATGTTTAAAGAACACATCTTTAAATATGATCTATTGGCCTAATCTAGCTGAGGTCACAGACAGAGCTCACAGGCCTGGGAGGAATAGAGGCTGTTGTTCTCTGCCCTGTGAGAGTGTGCTGGAGAGAATTTAATGAGGCACTTTCTCTTCTTTATTATTTTCACAATTCATTTCTTTATTTAGGCTCAGCTGGTATCTCTGCAATACCTATGCCTTAGTCTCGCCTCTCAGTTAATATTGTCATAGTATCAACCTTTCTTGCACTGGCATCAAATAACCCACAATTACACTGAGTATAGTGACTGAAGCATAGATGAGTTGAGTTCAGGTCAACTTTACTTTGGGTTTCTGAACTATGAATTGAGTTTGTTCCATCTGTAGCATAGAGAAGCCAAGTGACTTGCCCAATATTGTACATTGACTTAGTGGCAAAGCTGTGAATAGAAACCATTTCTTCTGGCCTTTTGCTGTTTGATTCCTCAGAGGTAAATTCAGAATTGTCCCCCGCTCTTGTTCTTACCATCCAGAGATCTAAAATACATATTAAGGTTCTGGTAGCTGAGTCTTGTAAGCAAGTCAGCTTACATGATATTTTTAGATTTTTAGGAATCCTGCCTAATTCCACAGAATTTTGCAATGCCCTTCATTCATATGGATGGAAGCGGAACAGGTGTCTGTATAAAAAGCAGCAGTTTTTATTTTATTATGTATTACAAAGCACTTCAGTTTGTTCACCAATCACCCTGCTGGACTGGCTGAGTAGCCTAAGCCCTGCACCTCTCTCATTGTGGGATGCTAAGTCAGTGGTGCTAACCACTTACTCTGTCTTCTTTCCACTGAAAGAGTATAATTATTCTGAAAATAGTAATAAAAATCATCTTGATGTTGTTCTTACATGTATTGGTGTCTTTGTGGTGCTTTTTGGGGCCTCAGCTGATATTCTGGTGTTTGAAGGATCCATTCCAAGTCACCAAGGATGCAGACACCAACTATGCTGGCAGCAGACTTGGTACCAGGGGCAGATGAGAGTTTTGCGGGGCCCCCCTTTGGAGAAAAAATAGAAAAAAGGCATCCCTCCTGTGCCCACTCCTCCAGTAGCCCCACGCTGATCATGTGAGCTACCCATCCTCATCCCCTCTCCTAACACTTCCCTCTACACACCTGCTCTGCCTCTCTCCTCTGGTGCTGGTCCCTCCCCTGCAGGTGTCTGCCCTTCTGCTTCTCCCCCAGAATCCCCTGGCACCTGCACCTTCCCTTACCCCTGCACCCTCCTGGTGCCTCCCCCTTCCCTCACTGCCCCTGCGTCCTTTGCCCTCTTTTACCATAATGTCCATCCCCTCACCACCTTCTGCCCCCATTCCCCTCATGCCCCTGTGCCCTCACACATGCCTTGCTCCATCCCTACCTTCCTCCTGCCCACCCCTCCTTTCAAGCCTTCTCCCAGCACCTCCCCATCCTCCCTTTAGTCCCCAATGCCCTTACCCTCTCCTCTCCCAGCATCACCTGTCCCCCCTCCCATTGACACCTCTCCTCCTGCCCTTTTCCTCATTGTCTGCACTTGGCCCTCTGGTATTTGTTTCTCCTCCACACTGTCCCTTGGTGCCTTCCCCTTTCTTCTCCTGACTTGCCCCCCTCCCCTCAGCACAAGCCCCTTCCTCTGCCATCCACCTTCTGCCTTCCAGTTTTCAGGGCAGCCGCGACCCTGGCCCAGGCTCCAGACCACGTGCCAAACCGAGCAGTGCAACACTGGGCCATGTGGTTTTAAAGTCCCGGGCCGTGACGTCACACCACGCCCGGGCGTCTCCCCTCTCAGCTGTTGTGTGGCATTTCAGCATGCTGCGCATGCACTCCCTCGGCCCCACATAACCTGTACTGGCTGGAGCCGGGGAATTTAAAGTGCGGGGCTGCGGCACCCCGTCACAATCCCCCTCCTCCTCCAGTAGCTGCCAGCCGGCCCTTCAGCGGATGGCCCACCAGGAAATTCCCGGTATCCCGTTGGGCCAGTCCGCCCCTGGCGCTGGTGCAGGGCCTATTTAAGCATGGGGCCCACTGCTCCGCTCGCCCTGCCCTATATCTGCCTCTGCTTGGTACAGCACAAGAATCTACATAGACAGATGATAGCCATATCAGCTTTGAAATTCTCTTCTCCCCTAAGAAGGCTGTGGTGTATGTGCTCTGTAGCTACAAAACTGCGATTCCTTAGTTTTGCACATTTAAATTTCTAGGAATTCTGTCTTTGTGCAGAGGCAGCAACCATTTTGTTTTCAGAGCTGCTGTCCTTTGTTATGGAAGAGACATGCATCCACTACACTCTCCCAAGGAGATTTCATTTTTATTTTTGATTATCTTGTTTCCCTTAATTTAAAATAAAAGTCCTTCAGTATTTCAACTTTCAGAAGTCAAAAAGAGAAGAAAAATGCATTTTCAGAACCATTTTATTTGGATTTAGAAATACATTTTTAATAACGTATTTTTAAATGTGAAGGAAATTGGTGAGTAAAAGGTCATTTCAAACTGAAAAATCAAAACATTTTGGCTTTTGGCATTTTTTTAAAATAGTTTGGTGAAGCTGACATAAATTCACAAACTGTTTCAGTCACTGAACCAGCATTTCATACCTCCCAATAGCTCCAGATGAAGAATTTTGCCCCTCTGTAGCTGTAGGGAAGTCAGTGGATAATTCAGAAACAGGCATTCTTTTTTTCTGGAGACAGTACTGACCCCAGCACCTTCGATGGTGCTAGGGGACCCTGTGCCCTTTAGATGGATATGCCAGCAGATGGGGAATGAGCTTTAGAAGCAGATAAACTATTTAAAAACCAAGATTCTATGCTCCCATGCAGACTTCCCTGCTGTGATAAGGTAGGAAAAGGATGAAAGAGAAACACAGGAAATATATGAGGTTGAAGCAGAACTGTTTGAGTATTATTCAAATGCTGCTCTTTGAGGTTTTCAGGGAAGCAGCTATTTTAATGTCTAGTGGATCTGTGCAAAAAGGAAAGATGCTTTTGAATGGCAAACATAATTGAATATTCTTCATTGGTGCTTAGGATTGCCTGGATAGCAAGCCCCTGGATCCAATAGTAACTACAGTGGCCCAGATCCTGAGGAAGTGCTACCCCAAGAGGCCTCTGCCTCTGGCTACATTATGCAGTTCCTATTCCTTCTCTCTTCCCGGAAGTGTCAGCTCTGAATCTTCACAAATACTGCCTGAAGGTAAATTATTGACTGAAGTATGTGTGACTGTGACTGATGGGAAAATGGAAGATGGGGGTCAGGAGAGAGAGGAATCTGATCCTGAGCTTTGCATTTAAAACTTGGATGGTGTCCCAAACGGTCATGCTATCAAACTGGGTATGAATCCCTCATTTTGGGTGTTTCTGTCCAGGCCAGCAGGTACTGTGTGGAGAATGGAGATGTGAGATAGTGAAGAGAAGGGGAAATGAAATTCAATCCGTATTGCTTTAAAGTGACCTGAAGGAATGGCCTTGACAGAATCTGGAACTACTGTTGCTTCGTGGAAACTAGGAAGGGAGTATGCATATGTGTACAGTCTGCCTTGCAAATTTATCAGTAAACGGATGCTGCCAGCCAGACGCCTTTTTTTCCTTCTCAAATAATCCAGTTGTGGTTATGCTACGTGAATGGAGGTTGTGAGCACTTGCAGGCCAGCGAGATGTGTGCAAAGGCAGGTGAGCATCATGCATGTAAAAGGCATGCCCAGGAATGAAACAAATATTACCTTCTGCATAGCTGTCTCAGCTAGAGTGAAACCTTCCTGCTGCCAGTCTTCACACTCCAAACCAGCACCTGTATGGTACAGCCCAAACAATATTCTGACTACTGTTTTACCTGTGAAAACATTTTCAGCAAAGACTGTGAAGCTTCTACTCTGTATCTCCAAATTTCTGGCTCACCTCTTTATTGATCTTTAAGATTTTCTTTTGTTTTCATGGGATGTTTCTGATTTCCTCTGGATGATCCTGTTTCCTGTAGTCTAGGCATGTGGGACATACCATAGCAAGGATGAAACTTGCCACCCTACTTTTCTGCCCCACCTCCTGCAAAACTAAAGCAATAAAATCTATGTCCAAGAGAATTTTTACCCCCCAAAATGAGAAGAGCTAGAGATATAGTGATGTCCACTAGGGCTACCATGCAAATACATTATACCTATTAACTTTTATGTGGAAGATAGATTCCACAATAGTATGGTCAGGATAAAATCCTTAGGTAGGTACTGTATATAGATTAACAGCATCCTATAATATCTTTGCAATAAAACAAAAAATCATCACATTACTTTGTTACAGAACATGGTGCCACATCAGGGTGGTGATTGTCAAGGTGTGGAAATACTGTGATTTCATCCAGGAGAACAGGCCCAGCCTTTGGGCAAGAGGCGGTTGACTTGGGCCCCACACATTCAGGGCCCTGTGCTACCCAGCTTCCAGCCCCACCCACCCTGCCAGGAGCCATGCGGTCGTGCAGGTCAGCGTGCTGCCTTGGGCCCACATACTCTTTGGCTGAGCCTACAGAAGAATCAGTGTAGATGCCCTCTATCCCATATGCAGCTATATCTGATGGAACAACACATGGGATCTAAGTCTTAGGCTCTACTGTGGTCGTTTATAGGGAGAAGACACATGTGTTGAGCACAAAGGTGGCTTGACTTTCTGAAGGGGGCCAGGGAGAAGGATATGATGATGGAAGACACCTGCTCCATATGTTTTCTACTTTTGCAGATGACTATGACGATGATGTAGAGGAAGTGGAAAAAGACCTGCATAGTGATGATCTGGAGCACAAAGAGGAAGTATGTCTATTAGTCACAGCTTCCTTTAAAACCCTGCATGCTCTATGAGGGGAAAATGGGGGGTTTTCCCCCTTATTTGGACCTTATTTCCATTCCCTATTTGATTTTACCTTTTACAATTAGAGCCAAGAATAAGTCTCAATGGAGATTTGATTCTTCCAGGCAGAGGCCATGAGAGGCACATTAAGGAGAAAGTGATAGGAGGCCTAGTAGATTTTAGGGAGTGATATCTTTTTTCTTTTTTTCCCTCATCAAAATAACATTATATTTTTGCTATGTACCTGGACTTCAGTCACAGAATGAAAGTTGATTTGTTTGTGGCTTCAGAGCAGATATATAATAATATAGGGCTGCTTGGCCACAGAAAATGGAAGAGCAGTCATCTTCCATGGAGTGGGGTCGGGATCTCTTGAACATGCAGTTAAATGGTGCATATAAATATTTAGACAGGTTGGTATGCAGTTGTGTCTGGGATCTTGCCTGAGAAGCTGGAAGACTTCAGCTTTGTGTAGGTAACCTATGTGATTTGCCCACTATTATAGAGAAAGCTGGCCAATCTCTTCCTGGGAACAAGTCCCTTGTTTCTGTTTCTGAATAGATTCTCAGTTGAATCGCCCCCAAATTCTTCCTTGTTCACATGACTTCAGGAATAAAAGTATAATAATCTCAGCTCATTGTTTTTTCACAAACTGTCACTTCATGTATTTCATAATCCCAGTTTGATCTGTGTGATTGGGTATATACGTCACATAGTATTTTTTTTCCATTCCCTATTTGATTTTACCTTTTACAATTAGAGCCAAGAATAAGTCTCAATGGAGATTTGATTCTTCCAGGCAGAGGCCATGGGAGGTAGATTAAGGAGAAAGTGATAGGAGGCCTTGTAGATTTTAGGGAGTGATATCTTTTTTCTTTTTTTCCCCCATCACAATAACATTATATTTTTGCTATGTACCTGGACTTCAGTCACAGAATGAAAGTTGATTTGTTTGTGGCTTCAGAGCAGATATATAATAATATAGGGCTGCTTGGCCACAGAAAATGGAAGAGCAGTCATCTTCCATGGAGTGGGGTCGGGATCTCTTGAACATGCAGTTAAATGGTGCATATAAATATTTAGACAGGTTGGTATGCAGTTGTGTCTGGGATCTTGCCTGAGAAGCTGGAAGACTTCAGCTTTGTGTAGGTAACCTATGTGATTTGCCCACTATTATAGAGAAAGCTGGCCAATCGCTTCCTGGGAACAGTCTGATCATCACGCTAAGTCCCTTGTTTCTGTTTCCGAATAGATTCTCAGTTGAATCGCCCCAAAATTCTTTCTTGTTCACATGACTTCAGGAATAAAAGTTTTAGGTATAATAATCTCAGCTCATTGTTTTTTCACAAACTGTCACTTCATGTATTTCATAATCCCAGTTTGATCTGTGTGATTGGGTATATACGTCACATAGTATTTTTTTTCCATTCCCTATTTGATTTTACCTTTTATAATTAGAGCCAAGAATAAGTCTCAATGGAGATTTGATTCTTCCAGGCAGAGGCCATGGGAGGTAGATTAAGGAGAAAGTGATAGGAGGCCTTGTAGATTTTAGGGAGTGATATCTTTTTTCTTTTTTTTCCCCATCACAATAACATTATATTTTTGCTATGTACCTGGATTCCAGTCTTTAAAACAGCTTGGGTCTTTAAGCCACAGTTAGAGCACTAATTTTTAGCCTCTTTCTTTTACCTATTCCTGTTCATGAACAAATAATTTAACTAATTATTTGGAACATTGTTTGCTTTCTGTCCTCACTCTTTTTCCCTGCCACACCCTGCTGTGAAAGGTACAAATCTAGGATGCATGCCAATGTTTTTCTGGTGAAAATGCATCTTTCTACACATACATTCATGCATGAATGAGCTTTTGCTCTCTCAAACATCTGTACAAACAAAACCTTGTTTGCACAAATATTTATGGTAATCGAATGAAAAAGGGCACAAACAGTGTGTGATCTGATCCAGTTTAGATTTCTGTTGAGTGTTCTTTTCACTATTCGCCTGCTCTGCCTATCTGAACATTAAAATGGACACAGTGTCCTGACCTGCCCATTAGTGACTATTTTCATCAGAAAACAGGTCAAACTGTTCATTAGGAATAATGTTTTTGTTTTGTCATTTGTTCCCAATCACATCCTAATGTTTGTAATTAGTGAATACTTATGAATAATGACCATAAGTACTTGTGAACAGTTTTAAGTTTATTGGCTGTTTGACAACACTATGCCTTGAATTTTATTCATTTGCCTTGTATGATTGCTACCATAACCTTCATATTACCCCACCTTGTGACTAAACTTTTACACAGAATGATAATGGGGGATGAATAGTGAACTTTTGATCCAAATTTTTGGGCAAAGAAACATTTGCACTCAAGTTCTTAATACTTTTGTGATTCAAAAACTTTTCCCACAGCTATTTGGTGGGTGTCTAAATATTCATGAATAATGTCTAATACTAATCACAGTGAACAGAGCACAACACTTTTATTTATTTGATCAGCTCTACCAAAATTGGAGTCCCCATGCATCAATCTCACATCCAGTTTTATCATGAAGCCCATCCATCCCGCCCCTGAAAATCATTAAAACCTATACGTACACATCCCACATAATTCTCCAAACTGTCACTTCCTCCAAAGCAATCTTCAAGGGCTCAGAAAAACTCCAACACCAACTACTGACTCCCCTGTCAACCAATCCCAATCACCCCCTCAAATCAACACAAGTAACGCTTGGTAGAAACAGCCCAGCCTTTCAGTCCAGCTATGGCTCAGGGTTGGAACTGCTGTTGACACCATGGTGTTCATGGGAATTTGGTGATAAATTGAATCATTTCTGAAGTTATTATCAAGAGCAAATTGCTTCTTTGCTGCGGTTTGGTGGTGAATGCTTGCTAACTGTATGCTGAATTATTTGAATAATGCTGTCATGTCGCAGCCATTCATCAATGCCAGTTAGCCACCCTACCCCCCCTTCCCATTCTCTTATTCGATGACTGAACACTTGACACTGCATGTCTTTGACTCTTGTATCTGATACAGAAGGTATGCATGTCAATGCATGGTTGCTTTGGATGTGAAAGTTTCAGACATGATCCTTGTCCTTGCTTTATAGATAACTGCAAACCCAAAAGAATGTGTGGGTTTTTTTCAAATGAACAGAAGACGGATTGGGCAAGAGACTAAAAGCTATTTATCACCAGTGTAGAAAGCTATAAATAAAGTAACAGATGAGAAATCGGTGCTTCAGGGTTCAATGATGTGTGCGATACTGGGGGAGAGGGGAGAGGATCTTGATGAGCAGTAGTGGAGAACAAGGTAATCTTAGTTTGGAGAGGTAAGAATACTAGAAGTTGCTAGTTTTGCTGGTAACCAACAAAACACATTTTGCCTGTGACATACGGTGGGATTTTCTTGTTCAATCTAAATTGTCTGATTGTTGGGTCTCTGAATCAAAGCTGTTTTCTTACTGCCCTTCATTCAACACCTGAGGTGGCACATCAGCTGGTTATGTCAGGATACTGGCCAGTGGCTTTGGGAGCTCCAATTTTTGGTTGTCCAAGTTGACACATTTAAATGGTCAATTTTTCAGAGGGTGGATCTCAGCACCTTCTGAAAATCAGGCTCCTATAAGATGTCTCAGCTGGGACACTCAAATAGTGAGACATCCCAAACCACTAGTCATTTTTAAAAATCTTGTTCAGGACTTCTGATATATAAATGCCTCTGGATCATTCTATGGCCTTGGGCAAGTGATCTGACTTCTTGTGTGTCTATTTGCCCTTCCATAAAATGAATTTAATTGCTCTCATCTAGTAGTCAGGGGCAGCTTGTGCTTAATGATTCCTGGTACCATCTTATAACTAGCCAGTCAGGGACAATCCCATGTGGTTTGATAGCACATTTCATTTATTTCCTTTCCTATTCTGACTTTTGAAGGACGATGATTTGGAGACAGATGTGAGCAAACTGAACTCAAAGCCAGGTCTTGACAGGCCAGAAGAGGAGCTTGAGCAGTATGAGACAATGTGTCCTGAACTTTCCCTTACCCTCCAGGTGGGATAACATTGTGGCTTCCTTTATCTGTGAATGCATGTAGGAATGTGCAGTACTGGAGATGTTGACTTAGAGGAGGTGGGCTGACAGATATACTGCAAAGGGGAGCTCTGGATGACTCAAGATATCAGAGGATCCAAGATGTAAATTCATCTGGAACTTGTTGGGTTGAATGCAGCCCCAGTTGGTAGCATGTGAAAGATATTAACATCTGAGGGCATTTAACTGAAAGCCTGGGTATCAGATCACTAGGGCGTAAACGGATAAATAAATATCCAGGTGGACATTACCTATTAAATATCCACTTATGGGCATTAAGTTGTATCCTTGTTGGTAATTTTAACAGAGATCCAAGAACTAAATGGATAATGGAAATTAACTTGTCTACTCTAGAGGTGGTCAGTCAAGCTTAGGGTAGAAGAACAGTGATGAGGAAGCTGACATTACCACTGCTTAAAATTCAGAGAGTTCCACAGTTTATCAAACCATCTGTTTAATAGTTTGGGACAGGAAGTGAAGAAGAATATTGTACTCAGTACTGAACAGAGAGAAATCGAAGGAGGCAGAGTATAATTGTTCAATTTAAACAAGACATCATGCCTCTCCTATCATACAAAGTGCTGTGGTATTTGTAATGACTGCACCTGACCAGGAACTTGGATTAATGTTGCAGTTCTGTATTTTAGTCAGGTGGAACTTTGCCTGGCAAAGTGGCCCCATTGTATTACATGGGACCATCAGTTCAAAGAGAAGTACAGCAGGGTGCCTCATGCAATTTCCTGTAATGCTCCAGGTTTGCTTAGGGGTTACCCATCCAACAGCTGATCTAAACTGACATTGTTTAGCTTCTAGGAACTGATGAAAGATCAGCTTGTATGACTAGGAATGGTGGCAGGTAGGCTGTGGATTTCTGTCTCTCTGGGTCACTGAGGTGAGCAGAATTTTGAGAGCCCTGTAAATGAAATATTTTCCCTTTTCTTCCTTGTGGCATTTTCTGTGGAAAGAGACACCATCTGTCTTTATTTATTTTCTTTCTTTTATCCTTTAAATCTAAAGGAACTGGAAACAGAGTCTGAAGATAAGAACGGCTCTGAAGATGTGCCTGGGAACCTGCCAGGCCCTTACCCCCAAGTCATTCCAAATGCTGCTTTTAGGAAGCAGCAGCATTGCAGACACATAGACCAAAGTGCCATGGGGCCAGACACAAGGGAAACAGCTTTCAAGACTCCAGTGCAGAGCTGGGAAAAGAAGGGGAACTGCACGTCTCCAGGCCTTGAAAAGCGAGCGATGGGAGAATCAGTCCAAGATGCAGACACTCTTGGTGAAAGAGACGATCTATGCAGGAGTCATGCATCCACTCTGCATCCTCTCCTAAAAGAAGCCTCTTGGGACCCAAGAACATTTCGCACTCACTGTGGAAGCTATTTCAGCCCCAGCTCCGTGAGGGGAGTGGGAGCCTCAGACATTGTGAAAAAGCTTCTGGAGAGACACCAAGGGGATATCCCATCGCACAGCCCTCACTTCTACATGGCCAGGGCTGGAAGCACCAAGTCCATTTTGGATTACAGAGTTTTGGCGTTCCCTGATTTCTGGGGTCACCAGCCCCCTCCTCATTACCAATCCCTGCTGGAACGGAAATATGGAGTACAAAGGTGATTCTGCTTTATTGCCATCCTACAGGTAGCTCTCTGAAGCTGGCTAAATAAAGACTCACCTCTTACAGTCTTGGGGACTTTCACATCTTACTGGTTGGCTCCTGATAGGTATTAATTATCACTTTTGTATGAAGTTTCGTAGGTCTCTGCAGAACCCACACAATGGCTTATAACAATAAGGGGAACCAAGCTACAGGCTTATATTATTTAGATTTTTCTCTTAGATTGAAGAGACTGGCATCTATGGGGCTCTTGGCACACATGCAGGGTTAGGAGGCCTAATTTTTGCCTCTGCCAGTGGCCAAGTCATGTCACCTCTCTGGGCCTCACTTTCCTTTTTTGGAAAGTATCAGTGAATAAATAGTTCTCTGCCTCACCTGCTAAAGTAATTACATTTCTAAAGTGTGCTGGGATCCTTCCATGGAAGGCACTGTGCACCTGACAAGTAACATTAATGCTCTGAGGGGGAAACTTGGAAGACAGGATTCTTCTCATGACTACCCATCCTTCTCCTTCCCCAAGCATGTTCCTCTTCCATTACTTAAGAGGGGCAGTTGTTCTGAGTAGCCAAAGGGACTCTGACCAGACCCTAAACAGGCTGCATGATTGTACTTTCCCTTCAACTAAGCTCTAGGACTGAACAATACTAATAACATGGCATTTACCAATGCCATTAGTTTCTGAGCTTTCTTGAACCTCAGCACCCTGTAGAGATGGGAACTCGTCCTGCAGCCACTAAATGCCAGAAATCTTGCTCCCAGAGGCAGTCATTCGCTCCTTTTCCCTGCACTAATGTTCTGAAAACCCTGATTTTATGATCATAACAATATATGTAACTCTACAACTAAGAAAGGGATAATCGTGTCGTTCTTCAGTGTTTAAGCTGAGGTCAGGAAGGAAATCTCAAGAACACATTTGGCATTGTACAATTGATTGTTATGGGGGGAGGTTGGATGGGCTCATTAGCCACTGTTAGAGCCAGGTGGCTCCTAGATAGGTCAATAGTCTGATCCCTTGTGACAAATTCCCCATTGCTAGGTGTACATAACTCATTCACTGAGACTGAATGAGAAGAAATGGAAATAAATCCTGCAGACTGTGAATGACAGTCATTTAAAAGTGTTTTCCAATTGTGAGAGCCATGCAAAAGCCAAACTGCAAAAAGTGTTAAGGGATATTTTTGTTTAAAGTGAGTACAGGTGTGTAAATCTACACAGGGATATCCTTTCTCCCCCATCCTCTGGAAAGAATATAATACGCCTCAGTTCGCTTCTTCAGCAAGGATCCTCCAAGCCAGAGGTGTGTGTCTTCCAGTAGCCACAGACTCACTCACAGTTTGTTTTTCTTTTCCAGGGCCAAAATATTTGAGGATGTTTGTCGTCTAATCCAGCCAGGTGATGTGATAGACAAAGTTGTCTTTGATGTAGATGGGTGCAGGTAGGTATTCCTAGTAGTGCACTGGGATTGAGGGCACCGCCATTCTAATTTTCACACCTGCTGTCTGGTCACTATCTCATACAATGAGCTGCTGCTGCCCCTTTATGACTCAGCCAGGTCACACTATGCATTTGCCCTTCTGTGGTACCAGAGTCTTCTTAGTCATTCTCTTAGTGGCTGGCAGGGGAAACTGGGCCTGCCATCTACTCCTGGTTCTGGCACAGGTCCTCTAGCTAACAGCCATCCAAGCCTCTTGGATCTTGCGGCCTTTCCCTAAGCCCTTTCCTTGCCATCTGCTACTCTACTTCCCTCCACTCCTTAAGGCTTGTCAGGGTCACCATTCCCTCTTCCCAGGGGGAAGCAACAAGCTACATATCTCTGCTGTCTGCTACTTCCAAACATCCCTGCCATCTCCTGGGAAATGACCACAATCTATTTTTAACAGCTCCCTCAGCTTCCAAATTCCTGTCTTTATAAACCCCAGTCCTGATTGCCTTCCCCCCCCCCCTCAGTTGAGCTCCCTCGCTGAGTCAGGGGATTAGCTAGCCACCTGACTCCCCTCAGCTGTCACTTGTTAATTAGGCCCCTTTTCAATCCACATGAATCTTTTTTGGGCAAGTGTGAGGTAAACATCCCTTCACAGTCTGTCTCTCAGCACATGGCTCCAGGAAAAGATATGTAGATTATTGTGGAAGAGACATTGAAACCACCAGCCCAGGGCACAGCAGCAGGAAAAACAAAACAGATACTGGGTGGTTTTAGCAAAGCAATGGAGCCTAAAAGTAAAAGGGGTGGAACCATGGCTCTGTGCAATAAGGCAGCTGTGAGACCCATCTTAGGTTCTCTGAACCAGGCTGTGCCCCATCATTATTGCCCTTGAGAAGCAGCAGCAGCAGCAGCAGCACAGCGCAATGGAGAGGTTTGTGAAGAAAGTAAATTCTGAGGAAAACACCAGTGGGTCTGAGATTGTTCTCTTAGCAACACAGTGCACAGAAAAGTTTGAGGTGACTAGGCAGAGATTTTTAAGAAGGGGAGAGAATTTTAAATTTGCTCAAGATAAATTTAAAGGCTCTAGAATTGAGCGGAGGGCATAAAGAACTTGGGCAGAGTCACTTCAAGCAAAGGATAATAAACCTGTGGAATAAGTTAGTGGGGAATGTGATTGGTGCAAAGAACCTAAATGAGATCAAGGAGTATATGGATCTGTTGTTGAAGATGGAAAAATTGAAGTGGGGGAGCGGGATGTAGAATCATTCTATGAAGGCTAGTGCTTTGAACTGCATGGCAGGGCAATTGTTGCTTTTATACATCCTCTGTTTGTAAGTATAAATCACTATATAAACTATATTTTAATGGTTACTGCTCCTTAAAGTAATGTTTGGTGGTACACACATCTCTGTTTTGCTGCAGCCCCTCAGACACAGATGCTCCGGATTGTCTTAGATTCTTCTCTAAATTTGAATCAGGAAACCTCCGCAAAGCTATCCAAGTGCGCAAGTAAGTAACTTTGATCCCAAGAGTGCCTGTGTCATATCTGGCCACACTTATAATATCTCTTTTATGTGAAAAGATGAAGTACTCTGGACTTTATAACCCTTAGCAAGGGGAGTAGAGTTTATGAATCAGAGGTGTTAGGTGGCATGAAGTTAAAGGAAGAGAGAAACCAAGGTGCAGAAAGACATGATGCTGTGATAGGGTAGGACTTGAGGCCAATGGCACACTTGGATGCTATTGACTTTGATGACATCCCCCTACCACTGGCGATGTCAGTGACACTCTGCCCCATAGTTGCCAGTGCCTGACAGCTGTGGTATTTGTATGAGGCATCTGCTGCTGTGGGTTCATTACATCCCACCCCATCGTTTTGTCTGGCCCACAGTGACACCATCTCATATGGCTTGCTCTCCAGATTTGAATATGATTTGATTCTGAATGCCGATGTGAACACCATCCAGCACCACCAGTGGTTTTACTTTGAGGTCAGTGCCATGAAGCCAGTCGTTCCCTACCGCTTTAACATCATCAACTGTGAGAAGGTCAACAGCCAGTTTAATTATGGTATGACCCTTTGAGTGGGCTGGGGTTCCCTCCCATGCACGGAGATACACTGCTGATTCCCTTAGGGCCTTCAACCTTCTTGTGTCTGTTAACTTTGCTGTGTAGACACACCCTATTTCGGAATGACTATGCGAGCATCTACATTGCAATTCTGTTGTTTTGAAATAATTTTGAAATAATAGACAGGATATTCTGACTTCTGTAAATCTCATTCTATGAGGAATAATGCCTATTCTGAAATAGGTATTTTGAAATAAGGCATGTGTAGATGCTCCTCTTCTGCTGTTTTGAAATAGTCCCTCACCGGGGCCATTTTAAGTTATTCCTCCTGGGGTTCTAAATCGAGATAGCAGGTCTACATTACGGAAACCTGCCTCGGATTAATTTTGAGGTTTCCCTGCAGTGTAGATATGCTATTTTGAAATAAGCTATTTTGGAATAACTATTCCAGAATAACGTATTCTGAAATAACTGTGCAGTGTAGACCTAGCCTTAAAGTTCCATAGGTCATGTTTACTTGCTTAGACATGGTGTGCAATCTGACCCTTGGAGCAAGGATGTTAAGCTACCTTCTTACTCCTTTTCCTTCCCATGTATGTTACTAAAATGGGTTAAATTCCCAACTTCCACTACTACTACCCATTTCATAGCAGCTAAGGTCATCCATCCTCTGCTGCTATGTCAACCTTCTGAGTTAGTAGAGCTGGGTGAGATCCTTTTTTGCTGCTCACTAGTTGTTTTGAAATCAGCCAGTAAGGGTCATAACAAGGCCTCAAAAAGAGTTCTCTCTCCTCAAGGGCACTTAGGGCTGGGGAGAAGAATTTTGGACGTCAGGGTAATAATCTTGGAACTGAAAGGCAGGAGTTTAGAGTCTAGGATATTTAAAAATGGGACTGTGGGGAAAAGGAGGAGTATCTATTTGGACTGAATGAGTGATCAGAAGTGGGGAAATCTCATAAGGTTTGAATAAATTTGGCTAAACTTCAAATAAACATCACAGTTTAGGAAGCTTATTGAGAAATTAAAATACACATCCAGACCTTCTGAGGTTTCTGCCAACATTAATAATAAAAGATTCTGTCTCCGTTTTTGAGTTCTATTTGCAGTCTGTGGTTCAGGAGGAAGGATGTGATCCCATAAAACAGGCAGGCAAATCAGAGCTTTCTGTGCCCATTTTAGAAGAGAAATTATTTATTTAACATGCAGACCTTGTGTTTCAAATCCTCAGCTGGCATAGCTTGGCATTAGCACCATTGCTTTCTATGAAGCCGTGTTAATTTATACCAGCTGAGGGTTTGGCCCAGAATGTTTTAATAAGTGCCCAGTTTCAAACATTACTTCGCTCCATCGCCTTTTGGATGCATCCATACAAATCAACAAGGGCTCTATCGCTGGACCAATGTACTCACAACAAATAGCAAAAGGTCTTAGGGAAGGTCTACAGTACAGAATTACTTCAATATAATGATGTTGCTCAGGGATGTGGAAAATGCACACCCTCAAGGAATATATAATGATCTATACGAACCAGAGTTTTTCCTGCCAACATAGCTACCATCTCTCACAGAGGTGGATTAGATACACAATTGTGAACACTGTCTCCTGTCAGCATGGAGTGTCTTCACTGAAGTGCTACAGTGGTGCAGCTTTGTCAATGCCCCTAGAATAGCTTGCTCCTAGAATCGCTTGCTGAGTGGTGAAGTTTATTATAAATCACTTGCCCTTTAGGCCTAAGGACCAGAATTCAAGTACTGAAATAGATCCCAAATGAATTTGTATGGCCATGTGTGACAGATCCAGACCAACTGGCTGTCATGCTATAAGTTTTTGGGGGGATGTGTGCCTGCCCACATCTAAAGGATCTCCCCCCAGCCTAAGGGGAGGGTCCACAGAACTCAAAGCACCAAGTGATTACAGGGGGCAAATTAAGAAAAAAACAAGGACAGGTGTGGAGGTCAAATGGCTAAAATGAGGAAACCGAATGGGGACACCAAGGCTACGTCTAGACTGGCACGATTAAACGGAATGGGGACACCAAGGCTACGTCTAGACTGGCACGATTTTCCGGAAATGCTTTTAATGGAAAAGTTTTCTGTTAAAAGCATTTTCAGAACAGAGCGTCTAGGGTGACATGGACGCTTTTCTGCAAAAGCACTTTTTGCGGAAAAGCGTCCGTGCCAATCTAGACGCACTTTTCCGTAAAAAAGCCCCGATCGCCATTTTCGTGATCGGGGCTTTTTTGCGCAAAACAAATCTCAGCTGTCTACACTGGCCCTTTTGTGCAAAAGTTTTGTGCAAAAGGACTTTTGCCCGAATTGGAGCAGCGTAGTATTTCCACAAGAACACTGACAATCCTACATGAGATCGTCAGTGCTTTTGCGGAAATTCAAGTGGCCAGTGTAGACAGCTGGCAAGTTTTTCTGGAAAAGCAGCTGATTTTGTGGAAAAACTGGCCAGTCTAGACACAGCCCATGTTGCACTCTAAAGAGGGCAGAAGTGTAGACATAGCCTCAGTCTGCTGCCACATAATTAAGGCAGGCAAACACCTGAGGCTAGTTAATTGCTGGCCTGAAGGAGCATGCCAATCAGACACCTGCAGTTTATTAAAGCTAGGGGTGCTACTTTAAAAGGTTTCCCCAGGGAATAAAGGGGAAAGGAGAAAAGGGACGGACCGAGAGGAGGAAGTGTGTTTGCAGAGAGCTGAGAAGGGAAAGATTCATTCAGGTACTAGAGAAAAGGCACTAGAGGAGCATTTGCGGAAGTGGCCCAGGGAAAAGAAAAGGCACTAGAGGAGCATTTGGGGAAGTGGCCCAGGGAAAAGGCTGCTGTCTTGGGGCTAGAGTAAAAACCTGAGCAGTTGCTGCTGCCTAGGGTCCCTGGGCTGGAACCTGGAGTACAGACTGGGCTTGGGTTCCCTGCAACCTTCCAGCACCATAGAAAGACCAGATTCTGGGAAAAGAAGGCCCAGAGTGAGAGGGATCTCCCCTTCCCCAATCATTGACTTTGCCAGTGATTGAAGTGGCTCTGTAAGATGTAACCCTGACCTCTAGAAAAACATAAGAGGCAGCGTGGAGGGTCACAGCAAGCCACTAAAGCACATAATAACCCCCTAAGAGTATAGGATCCATGGGGCAGAGCCAGAACTTTGCCATACCATGCTATTCCACTTTTTTGAATCACCAAACAGTTTGACATGACTGGGTAGTTCTCTCAATTGTTTGAGAGTGAAGTGCACTGAGGGAGGATGGAAAAGGGGCTGGTAGAGTACCTCTTGAAACCTATGGTATAGCTCTCAAAGGTATGCCCTATGATGTTGCTTCAGTATGGTAGACTCAGGCCCCTTCTGGTGGAAGGTTCCCCAACATCTGCTTCTCAGATTGTAGCCAACTCTTATTGGCCTCTCTCTTTTTTGTGAAGGGACAGGAGTTGCTTTATAAAATGTGTAATTAAAATTCTATTTGGAAGAAAAATGTGAAAATATCCTGTGTTAGGAGCTAGACCCAGGGCTAGCAGTTGTGTGGTCTGTGATCAGTATGTGTGTGACGGCCTGTTGGGAAAATTCTTGTCTATTGCTTCTCATTCTTCAAAAATGCATTGGTATGGGATTTACAGAGTGGGGCTCATGAAAGTCCAGCTCCTGTACAAAAGTAGTATGGGTGGCAATGGACTATAACATGAGTTGGCTTTGTACTGTGGCTGTCCTTCTGTTCTGCCTGTCAGATAGATGATGCTGTGTAATTTTCGTATCAGTGAAAAGACATCTCAAGGAGCACTGGAACTCAGCAACAGCGATGGACAGAAAATTGATTTTTTTTCACATGACAGAAAATTTTGAATTTTTGATAAAAACATGAAAACTGAACTGCTTGACTAGAAACTAAACTTTTCTATTGAGAAAATGAAAACAAAAATATTTTGATTGGTCTAAATCAGTTATAAAGTTTTGTTTTGATGTAATCTGACAGTAAACTCTGTCCTGCTATGATGACTCCTGGGAGTTGTCGTTCTGGTACCTTATCTTTTCATTTCCCCCCCAAAAAAGCTAGTCTCCTCCAGTGGTATATCTCCCATGATGCAACATGGTGTCCCTCTGGTTGCTGGTCCATGCAAAAGCACTGCATGGACACATGAAGCAAAAATGGAAAGGTCAGTCCTAGATGTGGTTGAATTATATTTCAAGTTTCTTTCCACATTACTTTCCTGTTGAGGTATGGGACAATCGTGTGCATGCTAAGAGATATCTCACAGCTGTTAGTGTTGGTGAGTTACACAAAATAAATCCAAAGGGAGGAGGCAAAATGCAGGAATTTTATGACCCCTCCTCCTTTTTTTGTAACACAAGAAAGTCCCCAGCATTAATGACACCAACTTGTATCTACCCCCCCCTCCTTTTTTTGTAACACAAGAAAGCCCCCAGCATTAATGACACCAACTTGTATCTTGTACATCTTGGTATGCCTGCGTACATAGGTATAATGGAATAGATTTAACGAGCAGCCTAAAGAAAGACAATAAACTGGACTTCATGAAGAAGACAAAAGCAGCAGGAAGATAAAAGAAATAGATGGGGAAGAAGCTATGGAGACCATCAAAGAGGAGGACAAGAAGTATGGATGATATTTGCATAGTTCCTCTTCAGCGCATATTGTGATAATGTGGTGCACGTCAGGAAGAAGGTGGCCCCCATGGTATCATACAGTCCACGACATGAGTGCTTTCTAGGGCACCCAGCTCTGTATGTTCTTATGGGAGGTGTCATGGCTCAATCCCCCAACTTGACACTATACGTGCAGAGATGGAGGGCCGGCTAACCGAATAAGCTCTGTAAAACCTGTCTCTGTGATTCCCAGAAACAAGCTTATTCAAAGATCCAAAAAAACCCAAGTCTGGTTCTGTCCTGCTACCACCCAAGTGATTAAAAGAAAATATAAAATAAAAACCCTTTTCCAGGGAAGAGATCAATTTGGAATTTCCTCCCTAAGGGAAAGCTCTCCCCCCTGCATCCAAACTCCATTTTGCTTGGAGTTGGGGAAACAAACAGAGGGAATATGTAGAGAGCAATGGTCCCTGCATCCAACCTCCATTTTTCTTGGAGTTGGGGAAACAGAGGGAATATGTAGAGAGCAATGGACTCTACCCAGGTAACTAGGCACTTAATCCTAAAGACACAACAATTAACCAATACCGGTTAATCAAAATTAAAAAAAGGAAAACTCTTATATTATCAAAACAAAACTAATTTTGCAAACATAGTAAATCGACTAGGTGGGAATAACCATGAATTAACTTAGACTCAGGGAAAGTCCCTGGGCTGTAATCCTTAGTTACAAAAGAGAAAAACAATTAGCCAGCTCAGACATGATTTCCAAACAAGGAAAACAATAAACCCTTACTGACTATCTAAACTTTTCCCTACTTACACATTTCAATAAGTCTGTTCTTGGAGAGAGAGTGCATCTCCCTCAATACCTGAGGGAAACTGCTGTGCTCTCAAAACAAAGAAGAGAGAGAAAAACCCTCTGTCCCAGTTTGAAATTCCTATCTGCATTTTTATTGGCTGACTGTCTGAAACACCCCCTGGCCGACACCTTTGTTAGGTACGTGAGTTAACCCCTTAGCCACCAGGTGCTAGTCAGCACTCTTTCTGTTTATGACAGAACATTTAATACTTCTGAAGCATCCAGTATTAGCTGAGGTTAGCAAAAGGTATTGGAAAAGATACCTGGTCCCTTGGGACTCTTCCATTATGGCAGAAGGTGGATTTCCAGCCTACTAGACTTATTATTGATGCATTCTAGTGGGTTGGAGAATCAAAGACTTGTTAACCAGGTCACTAGTCTGTCCAGTGTACTCATTCTTCCCCCCCCCTTCCCCCCTTTCCCTTCTTCAGTCCCTGCACGAGCAGAGTTGCTTGGAATCTCTCCCCTCAGAAAACCCAGTAGGTCTGATCCATTTTCTACTCTGCCTGTAGCTGGCTTCTTCTCTCTATAATTTTCAATAGAGAGCTGGCTGTTTTGAAATCAAGACAGGGATGAGGGAAAGGTGTATTTGCTTTTGGTAAAAGAGCTTCAAGGAGCATATACACATGCAGAAGAAGTCTTATAATCTGAAACTTCCTTTGTTTTATGTAGGCATGCAGCCGGTCATGTATTCAGTAAAGGAAGCTCTCCAGGGCAAGCCTCACTGGATTCGAGTGGGCTATGATATCTGTTATTACAAGTAAGTGTTTAATTGTTGTGTTTCTTTTGGTTTCCCTTCTCCTGCTGCTAACGATATTCATGTCATTAACTTTCAGACACCAGTGCCCCAGTTCTCAGACACTGTTTGTCAGCTTCTCACATTCTGCACTTCCGACAGCAGGGGTCAGATGTGAGCAAGATGCTGTTATTTGGCATGCATGGAAGAGGGAGGGTACATGCAGAATTTTCTCTTCTGGAGTAAAGTGGAAGTGGAGAAGGGAGGGGAGAACCACATGGTGGCAACATGAAGCCTTCTTCAGGTGTACACAGAAGCATAAAAGAGTGGTACCTACGTAGCTTCCAGGTCCTGCTGCAGTGATTGGCAGAAAGGTGGTCTGGGATGCCTATCTGTTTTTCTTTTTCATCTCTAACTTGTGTCATTAGTGTGACAAATTCAATACAAAACACAAAGGCTCAACAGACTTTGCCACCCATTCTCCTTGCCAAAGGATGAACTCTGATTTCAGATTAGATTCATCTGGGTGTTTCAAAGTGGGTGTTTTGAATATAGATTCATCTGAGTGTTTTCTCCAGAAATTAATGTACTGTATGGGTGAAACTCAGTCCTTTATGCTCTGCTTTATCAGTAGAAAAAACAGGGCCAACAATCAGAGAAAGCACACATAGATTGCAGCAGGTCACTACTGGTGAAACTACTGGTCCTGAAGACGGGTGCTTCTTCCTGTGAGACTGCAGCCATTAGAAAGATACCAGAAGGAGGAAACTAAAGGAGCTATGAGGGCTGCACTGGCACTCAGCTCATAGAAGGGGACTATAGAAGAAGACTATGCAAGAAGAAAGTGATCTGAAAGACCAGGAGACACTTAACAAGCAAACAGACACAATCTAGATAGAACCTACAGAGATAGACAGAGAACCATTTGCAGGCCGGCTCCACACAAAGATTGTTTTTCTAGATTTGGAGTCAGCTGGCTTGGAGAATGAGAGGTCACTCCTATTGTGTTCATCCACAGAGGAGACCAAACTATTTTAAAGACTATGATACCAGCTGAGTCTGTGCTAAAGATAAGACTCCAACTCTGCTATGGACTAGCAACCTAAGGTTGCCAACCCTCTAGGGTTGTCCAGTATCTGCGGGAGTTAGGTTAATCTTTAATTAAATATTAATTTTTATGTCGTGTGATAAAACCTCCAGAGGAGTGTCCAACAGAAATTGGCAATCCTATGGCAACCTCTGGACAAAGAAAAGTCATGATGGGAGGTCTGGGCATTAATTACAATTTTTTTAATGCTGATATTAAAATGTTAGGATTTTCTTTTAAAAGGATGAAGGAGCAGGTCTATGTTCCCTGGAGGGACTATTACTGATGGGGTGTACAGGGAGTTTGTCCATGTGGCTGAATTCCTTCCAGATTGTATGCACAGGGTTTAATGATCCACTTGTTCAAATTAAACTGTATTCTATTTCACTCTCTGTTACTGGACCACATGTGTCATGTTTAGGGTAATCTCATCCACACATAGTCTTATGTGGCTTAGGGACTTGTATAACCCCAGATGGAATGAATGCTTTTCTCCATGCAAAATAAGGTTTTGTCTTGCTTTTTACTTGTGTTTATACATTTGGCCTTGAGGTTTAAATGTCATTGTTCTCACTTGCATGCATGGCATTATGGGCAATCCAAAAACTGCCGGGTGTATTTACTGCAATATTATTGCCTTTCAGGAGAAGCACAGAGCTCCAAACTAATGTCATGACAAGAGGGGGGGAAAAAACCCTTCTAGTTCCCTGTGAAAACAAGCCCAAAGTCCCCAAATAAAGCTCTCTTGGGGGTCAAGCATGATGGTTCTTTTACCTCCAATGGGTGCTTTGTCAGTAACAGTTAAAATAACCAATTATCTTGCTCAAATAATGCCCCCGTACTCATCTGGCTATGTCTAGACTGACATGATTTTCCGCAAATGCTTTTAACAGAAAAGTTTTTCCGTTTTAAGCATTTGCGGAAAAGAGCGTCTAGATTGGCACGGACACTTTTCCGCAAAAGCACTTTTTGCGGAAAAGCGTCCATGCCAATCTAGATGCGGTTTTGAGCAAGAAGGCCCCGATCACCATTTTCACCATTGGGGCTTTTTTGCGCAAAACAGTTTTTAGCTGTCTGTACTGGCCCACTTGCGCAAAAACATTTCCGGAAAAGGGCTTTTGCCCAAACGGGAACGTCAAAGCATTTCCGCAAGAAGCACTGATTTCAGACAGTAGAACGTCAGTGCTTTTGCGCAAAATCAAGCAGACAGTGTAGACAGCTGGCAAGTTTTTGCACAAAAGTGGCAGTTACGTGCTGCTGTTGGACAGCTGGTCCCTACATAACTTTATTAATCATATTTTGTATGGTAGTGAGTAAGGGCCAGCCAAGAGTGACCCCCATTGTTCTAGATGTTGCACCAAGCCTGTAGCCTTTGGCTTCTGTGTATGGGCTCATGACTGCAGGCAGAAGAAGCACCAACAGATGTAGGACATGCAATGCTTGTTTACATGCTGATTCCAATGGAGATGGCTCCTAATGTCATTAACAAGGCAGTTATTGGGTGGTGATTAAACAGCAGCTGACTGGTAAATTTAAGCTATGAATATGCAATTACATTCTTAATCATATCATGGCCAACGATAAAGTTGAGGCATTAGCATAGGATTGTTTTGTTTTGGCATATGTAGTATCTTTCAATTGTACATTCAATTACACATTAATATATTTGTATATTGTCATTTATCAATCTGTTATTTGTAGGTTAACATGTGTACACACAACCCTTCTTCTTTCATCAATCACACAGCAACAGCCCAATCACGGAAGCTTATAGTGTACCAGTCTGTAGGCAGCAAATCTAATAGCAATCCGAGTCTGTGGCTCCTCACACCAGTTGGCGATGGGAACACTTGAAGGCAGCATGCTCAGTGTGTTGTGGCAGAAGAGACCTGTGTATTCCCACAGCACTCTGCTCATGTGGGATAGGGATGGAAACAAGTAGCTGACTATACAATTAACTGATAAACCGAGGCTTATCGGTTAATCTCGTTGACTTCTCATATTCCCTATCAGAGGCAGCAGGGCGGGGGTATATGTGGAGGGGGAGGCTGATGAAGAACAGCCTCTATCTGTGGCAAGCCTGAGCCCACTGTGGGCAGAAGCTGCTTTGTGGAAGCAGCCGCTGTCTGCGGAGTCCAAGCTCCCCGTGAACAGAGGCTGAAGGAACTGCTGTCGGCGAGGAGCTGGGACTCCCCCGCGGACAGGGACTGCTGCTGGACCAGCCTCTGTCTGCAGCCAGCCCAGGCCACCTTGAACAGAGGCTGTTTTGCAGCAGCCTCCACCCCCCACTCTCGGCAGCAGGCTCTGTCCATGGGGAGCTTGGACCTCCCCGCCTTCCACAGACGGGCTGCTGCCACTCCATGCTGCTGCCTCTGTATTGGTGCCTACAGCCCCATGCTGCTGTCTGCCAGTCTGTGCAGAGAGCTGGTTTTTAAACTGGCTCCCCTCATGGCCAGGCTCCTGCCTGGCACCCTGTGCTGCTGCCTCTGATACAGAAGCAGCAGCGTGGAATGGCAGGGGCTTCCCAGGAGTAGGGCTGGAGTGCACTGGCTACCGGCCCTGCTTCCGGGGACTATCAAATAGTCAAGTCACCAATAAGAATTCATGAGGTTATTCGACTATTCATTTAGCTGGTATTTAACATCCCTAATGAGTGTTGGGTTCTGGAGGAAGCCTCATCCCACTCTCCTTGACTAGAGGAAGGTTATCTGTGAACCCAGACCTTGAATGAATAAGTAAGGGGAAATTCAGAGATGCTAACATGCCCATTCCCCCACAAACTCCCATCATTTCTCATGTCCCATAGCTCTGATTTGAAGCAGCCCCTGTGCTGAAGGACAGTGGTATGAGGCGTATATATGGGTTGTCTGTGTAATACACTCTGGCTGATCTTTACTGACATTCATCTTCACTGGTGAGGGGAGATGAGAGAGCTCACTCATGAAGATGGATGTATTACCTCTGCTCTGCCATCATATACCTTTCCCATACATCTCGTGAGAGATTTTATGTTATGGAGAACATTAGCAACTCAGCTGTCAAAAGGCATCTTGATGACACTGCTGCTGAGTTTTATTGCTTCACTGTGTGAAGTGCCAGGATACACCCATGATAAATAGTCCCAGTTATTATGAAATTGTCTAATTCACTTGTCTTGGCAGCTGTTTATGCTAACACAGAAAATAATATTCCTTTTCATCAAATTATTTAAGGAACATGTCAGCATATCAAATTGGGGAAAATACTCTTGGGCATTGGTTTCACGGTTTGTTTTCAACTCATTGTCTAACCCCCAACTGTTCTGGTCATTGGATGGCTCAAAGGGTTGGTAATGGGCTCTGAAGCAACAAAAAATATTAGGGGGCTGGAGCACATGATTTATGAGGAGATGCTGAGGGATTTGGGCTTATTTAGTCTACAGAAGAGTGAGGGGGTATTTGATAGCCTCCTCCAACTACCTAATGGGGGTTCTAAAGAGGATGGAGAGAGGATGAAATCACTATTACAGTCAGTACTACCTGGTTCTATTTGGGGGAAAACTATTTTACTAGGAGGATGGTGAAGCACTGGGAATGAGTTACCTAGGGAAGTGGTGGAATCTCCATCCCTAGAGGTTTTGAAGTCCTGGCTTGACAAAGCCTTGGCTAGGATGATTTAGCTGGCGTTGGTCCTGCTTTTGGATAAGAGGTTGGACTTGATAACCTCCTGAGGTCTCTTCCAGCCCTTTGATTTTGTGAAGCATTGGTATCTAGTTCACCAATTGGAATCCTACCCAGGTCATTAATGACTTACTTATTCCCCCCGATAGGTGTTTTTGCTGGCCTTTGTGATGTCAGAACAATGATTTCACCACTCTATCCAGAAGTCTTATGTTCACACTCTAAAAATCACTATTACAGTCAGTACTACCTGGTTCTATTCATTTCTAGGGGAGAAGTCAATGCTTAAATATGCTATGGAATGGTATCTTCCCTTTCAATCTCAAGAGCTAGTCTTGGCTACCCAGGGTTTAGACAGTGGGCTTGGGCCCATATTTACCATTTAGCCACAAAAATTGTCCTTTTCAGGTCACTAGGTGGGTGCTACTGCTTTCAACAGACTTTTACTAGATATCCAAAACTTAGAACACTGAAAAAGGGTCTGCCCCTTGGAAAGGGAACTCCAGGCTCCAGTGGCCATATACCAGACCTTTAATACCAGCCATTTCCTGATAGTTGGTTTTTGTTGCTGTTTTTTCCATGATATCCTGCCCTATTGGGCACCTTGTTTTCTGCACTTTCTGAAAGGGTATGTCACATACAGATATCACAATATATGCATTTTACTTTGCCACTTTAGTCTAAGCTGATACCCAACTATATTTCATTTACCCCTTCACCCAGTGCCAGTGAAGCTTTCTATTGGCCACATGCTGCAGGTGACTGAGGGTGTCAAAGGGCCTCTTGAGTGAGTTAGACTGCTGCTGCCTGGCTTGGAGTTTTTCAGCTCCTGAGTTCTCATCTCAGCTCAACTCCAAGCCAGGCAGCAGCAGTCTTTCAGCTCCTGAGTTCTCATCTCAGCTCTGCTACTGACTTACTCTGTGGCTTTAGACAATTCTCTTCACCTCTGTTTGTTTCCCCAGCTGTTAAATGGAGATAATTATAATACCACCCAAAAATTATTAACAAACAAGCAGTTTGAGGGTTAATTAACTAATATTTGTAAAGGGCTTTGAACATGACAAGTGCTATACACAGTAAGTGATGTGCATTACTATAATTAATTTTTTTCAGTAGCTGCTGTTAGAAGTAAATTTCTTGTACACAGTATGCTTTGAGGGACAGCAGCGAGCTTTATGATTTGACTGTTATATAATTACTCAAAAGCACAGAAGATATAGCTTTCATGCTCATAAAGCCATCCTTGGGCCTTGAATATTTTTTCTAAGAAACAGTGTACTAGCTTCTGGAAAGAATGCAGAGCTCTGGTGCATTTTGGGAAGGAAGGATAAAATAGGTAGTAGGAACCAGAGGTTTCTGTGGGTGAATTGTGTGACCTTTCTCACCTCTGCAGACCAACCAGATCTGAGAAATCAAATGTGAAAATATATTTAATGGACTTATTCCATGACCCATCCTAATATCACATTGCACATCACATTTGGGCATAACTTAGAAGGATTATGATGTATTGTTTGGATTCATGTAGCATTCAGGGACCTTCACCAGGATTGGGCTGGGAGCTGTATAACTATACAGACTGACAGTCATAACCCAAAGATATTTACAAACTAAATAAGGCCTGGAAACAACATGTGGGTGTGCAAGCTGCCAGAACTATCAGTAATAGGATCATAGAGCTGTGTCAGTTAGCTACCGGTCTAGGTTTCTTCTTTTATGAATCAGTAATGATGAACAAAACCCCAAGATGTCACTAAACAGGAAGACCTGTCATTATCACTAGGTTGTTTGCTGTAGACAGCACAGCCAAGGTGAATCTTGAGGTGATTTGAAAGAGGACAGATTAGAAAGCCCTGTTCGGGGGAGGAAGGGCATGTATGTGTGTCCTGCTATAGCAGTGGGCATTGCAAATCAGCATTGAGGTTTGTCAGCAGAGCTGGAAGGAGGGCGACGAGAATCCCAGAACTGGGATAGCAAGTGGGCTGAATACCAGGATTGTGCTAGTGTCAGAGCTATGTGCTGGAGAGGCCCCAATAGGATACAAAAGGATGTTTTGGTTAAGACTGAACTGTAGTGGTCGAGCTATGGGAGTTGGTGGAGGGGGAAACTCAGGACTGGAGCATTAGGACCAGTCTGGAAATGCATTGGCTGAACTATATGGATGAACAGTGGATAGCACCTGCCTGCCATACCCGTCTCTCAATCCTCTCACCAGCAACCTGCTGGGGATGTCTCAGGACTGTCTCAGAAAATCTCAGGGCTTATTATAGCATCTGGAGTCTGAGGTTATCACAACCACAAAAGTGAAATGAATAGAATAGAGATTGGGAGGCTATGCCCTATCCACGTAAATCACACAAATGAAGGCTCCTGACCCCTATACCCCATTATTCGGGTGCACTGGAAGAAAATGATACATTGTTGTCTTGATCTTTAAGAAAAGTGGATGAAATCCTGTCCCACCGAAATCAAATCCATTGACTTGAATGGAGTTAGGTTTTCAGTCTAATATTTAAATTTATTTATTACTTAGTGTTTTTAAATAGCAGGGGGCAACATCTAGGTGTGGACATCAGCTGAGCATTACACCATTGTTTTTTTTGTTTCCATTGTGCCATTAATGCAAAAATGCTGCCTATAAGGTTTCATATTGTTGCCAGTGCCATTCCGCTCACGTGTTTGTACACTAAATCCATATGCTTTCAAAAGAAACATGCTATTGTGCTGTGTGTTTCTTATGATGAAGAGCTGATTATTCTGGAGGATTTGAGAAGAATAATTATCTCCTCTCTTCACCCTCTTGAATAAAAACAACAGAGAAATAAACTGGGATTGTAAATTTCAGGAGCTGAAATTGCATCTTTTGGTCTCCTGCAGTATTTTGCATTTTAATGCAACACTGATGATAACATTTGTCAGAAAGCCTCACAGTCCTTCAGAATCAGGTGGTTTGGCAATGGCATAATTGGTGCAATGTAGGAAAAATATTGTTTGAAATATACGTCTGGGTGCAATTTGTTTTGATATTTCTCTCTAAAGTGTATGAATAGGTTCTTCATCTGTGCTGAAGGAAAATGGCCCTTCTCATCAAGAAGTCACATCTATATTAGAATTAATCCCCTGCAAGAGAACCTGTGCCAAAAATGTGAAGGGAGATTTATGAAGTGTTGAAGACTCAGGTGCTCCTGTTACTGAAAGTGGGGAGGATCTGATGGGAGAGATTGGGTTGGCCAAGAGTTTCTTCATGAAATCATCTCCACTTCCTCAGTGGTGGACTTCGCTCAATCCCAGCTCCTCTCTGTGCTCAGTCAGGAGTTGTGCCTGATGACACATGGAGTATTTTGCCCATGTTCCTTCACCTCGCTTTTTCCCTATCCTTTTATGTGCTGTTCCAGTTCCATCTTTCTGAGGGTACGTCTAGACTACAGGGTTTTGTCGACGGAAGGTTTGTCGAAAGATACTGTCGACAAAACTTCTGTCGACATAGAGCGTCTAGACACATTCAGTTCTGTCAACAAAGCAAGCTGCTTTGTCGACAAACCCCTGTAGTCTAGACGCAACCCTACAGGCAATAACACCTTCTGTCGACAGAAGGAGTTATGCCTCGTAAAATGAGGTTTACCAGCGTCAACAAAACTGCTGAGTTCTGTCGACGTTATGTCGACAGAACTCAGCGGTAGTGTAGACGCAGGTATAGTTTTGTCGACAAAAGTCCACTTTTGTCGACAAAACTCAGTAGTCTAGAGTGCACTAGAGTAGTCTAGAGTGCACCCTTAGAGTGCACTGACTGGACGCTAACCCCTACAATGTCTACTCCTCCTTAATTGTCAAGGAGTCTTAGCCTCTTCCCACCCACCCATTCTCTGATAGCTCCACCTCCCCACACGAGATGAACTGTTATCTTCCCACAAGGCAGTCCAGCTGAGCCCCACAGGCCCAGGACTGACAGAGTCGAATTATGCCTCATGCTGCCACCAGCTGTTCTGTCTCTAACTCATTGCCCTCAGCCCTCTCTGACCATTGTATTCTAACTTGCTAGAATCCAGCTGTGGATGTTGTCACTAACCATCACCATGCTATCTGTGTCTCCATGTCTGCTGCTTCCTCCTACCTACCTACCTTCTATAACATGACCTATTAATGTATGCTGGAGACTGTTCTGTGGCACTGTGTTGCATGCTGCATTCTGTCTGTCATGGAACTGGTCAACTTGATCTCAATTTGGATCACTTACAGTTTGCACCATGCACGGTTGAGCTTGAAGCTCTGCCACAGCTCATTTACAACGGAGACCTCTCTAATCTTTCAACTCTTGTATGAATACACAAGATGAGGACCCCAAAACTGACTAAAATCTATTCCTCTTCTTTCTCATCCTCTAGAAACCATTACCAACGTAGTGCAGCTGCAGCAGGAGGCGCACGAGGGAAATCCTACTACACACTCACCTTTACCATCAAATTCCCTCATGGGGAGGATGTCTGTTATCTGGCCTACCATTACCCTTACACGTACTCTGCACTGATGGTAATGTTGGCCTGTCCAGGAGGAGACTAATGGGAACAAGGGAGGGGAACTAACTTAATCATCTATTATTTGATGTGGCCTTTGTGGCATTACTCACAGGATGCTAGCTATTTTTTCATAATGCTTTTACTGCCTGGTCCACATAACAGCCCCTGTCCAGTCTGGAGATCAGGCTAAAGTCAAAAGATAGCCATGAGTCTTAATTGCATGGAACAAGCTGTGATTTTTAGTATTTATCAAGCAACCCAAACATGTCACCATTCATTCTGTGCCCCAGCATCTCATTCTGAGAGTTGTGGGCTGCTCTGGGCAAATGGAAAGCTAGAATGAAAAGGCCGATGGCTTCTCCTATGTGGCTAATCCTTAGCTGTTCCATGTTATGTGGAGGACCAGGACCTATTTCAGATTTACCATTAGGCGTGTACTTTGTCCCAGGGTATGTCTAGACTGCATCCCTCTGCTGTGTACTTTGTCCCAGGGTACGTCTAGACTGCATCCCTCTGCCAACAGAAAAAGAAAGCCTTTTTCGACAGATCCTTTAAACCTCCTTGAGGGAGGCATAAGGGATCTGTCGAAAATGGCTTTCTTTCTCGACAGATCCCCCTCTAGACTGCTGCTTTTTGCTGACAAAGTGCTGAGTCAGCAAAACATGGCGGCCATTTTTATGCAAATTAGGCACGGGATATTTAAATCCCTGCCTCATTTGCAATGTTGACCTGCCTAATCTGTATCCCTCTGCCGACAGAGGGATGCAGTCTAGACATACTTCCAGTTAGGTACCCTCCTCCCCTTGACTCCCAGCTGTGCTCTGAATGTACACATGTGGGGTGGAGGGGAAATCACAACCCAAAACGTAAGTTATTACTGTCTCAAAGCTGTGTTGAAATGGAAATTAATGATTGCCCTCCTAAGGAGAGGAGATTTCACTCAGGGTGCTCCTTTGTTTCCATAGGTGAATGGTGCTGGGAGAGGGTTAAGGGAGAAACAGTGTGTCCAGCTCACCTTCTGAGCTATAAATAGTGGGAAAATCCAGGGCAAGGCTTCTAAGGCTATGTCTACGCTGCAGAGTTTTTGCGCAAAAACTCACAGAATGTCCATACCTCAAGTGTGTTTTTGCACAAGAAAACTTACAATGAATTGACAGAACAGAGGGGGTGGGGGAGTTTGCAATTATAGGTATTCCTCTTTCTATGAGGAATAACTCCTTTTTGTGCAAGAGTTATTGTGCAAAAAGATGGGTGTGGACAGGCAGCAGGGTTTTTTGTGTGCAAAAACAGCCTATTGAAACAATCACAGGTGCCCTGGTGGCCATTCTCTTAATGGCAATCAGAGCTTTCTTGCAATTGAGCATCCATGCAGTCTGGATGCTCTCTTGCGCAAAAGTGCTTTGCTTTTCCGATGCGCTTTTGGAGTGTGGACATACTCTTGTGCAAGAAGTTTTTGCGGAAGATCTTTTTCACAAAAAGCTTCTTGCGCAAGAAGCCTGCAGTGTAGACAAAGCATAAAGAAGGGAAGTATAAGAACATAACTGGGTTAGACCAAAGCCCAGTATCCTGTCTGCTGACAGTGGCCAGTGCCAGATGCCCCAGAGGCAGTGAACACAAAATGTAATCCTCACATGATCCCTCTCCTATCATCCATTTCCAGACAAACAGCAGCTAATGACACCATTCCTACACATCCTGGCTAATGGCCATTGATGGACCTAACTTCCATGAATTTTTCTAGCTTTTTTTTTTTCTGAACCCTGTTAAATAAGGGGGGGGTACAATAAATGGAAGTTCCCGAGTCCCACTTCACTTCTCCCTTAATCATGAGAGAGAAACCTTTCTGAAAATTAAGATATTGGGCTTTCAAGCTGCCCCTGCCACCTTTAATTGTCTTGCATTGTGAAAAATCTCGCAGGGGTAAAAATGTTAGTCTGTATTTGCAAAAACAATGAGGAGTCCTGTGGCACTTTAGAGATTCATTAGGGCATAAGCTTTTGCACGTAAAACCCACTTCATCAGATGAGTTGGAGTGGAAGTTACAGAGGCAGAGGTCTACCTCATTAACACAATATATATACCTGACTCTGTAACCTTCACTCCAATTCATCTAATGAAGTGGGTTCTACCCATAAAAGCTTATGCCCTAATAAATCTATTAGTCTCTAAGGTGCCACAGGACTCCTTATTGTTTGTAATTTTCTTGCCATTAATGTCATCTACCCAATCCCTATTGCAATAGATGGATAAATGGAGCTATTTTGGATCCCCTACTGACTTTTTTTAAAGCTTAAACCTTATGAAATGTACCATTTTGCCCTTGCCCAAGAATGGAGGAGCAAATCTTCAAGTGAAACAGAATCTCTTTTCTTAGGTAACAGTAGCCATGTGAATAGTCCAGCACAGCAATGTAGTCCATGAGAGATTCATTCCCATTCTGAATCTTAACACAAAGTTGACTGCTTCACATCCCACTACAGATGTTCCAAAAGCTAGATTCAGTACCAGAGATCAATCAGGTCAAGCCCTGGCTGTCCAAAACATCTGCACCAGACCCATGGGGACCAATTATTTCCATAAGCTAATGTGGAATCAAGAGAGAGCTCCAGAAGTTGAATGTGGCATATATTTAAGCAGTTAATGAAAAGGCAGGCGTATGCCACAGAAGCAGGAGAATAGGGGACTGGGAGATGGATGGATGTGAAGAGTGGGCCTACCGAATTCTTTATTAATGAGCTACAGTACCTTGTCATGATTTCAGTATGTATTGATTCCTTCTGTTGGTATGGAATTTGTAGCCTGTGGGACACCCTGAGTATCTCACCTGAATGAATAGAATTGAGATGAAAGGTTGTTATTAAATTAATAGGGACAAATCCTGCAGTACTTACTCATTTCTTACTCAAAGCTTACTCTGGTAAAATGCTCCTTGAAGTTGATGAGAATTTTGCCTCAGCAAGGATTGAATTAATTAAAACTGAGTCGAGGACAGCAGTGTTTGGACAGTGGGTATTAGCAATGGAAAAGAACTGATAGTTATGTCCAGTTGGTGGCCAAAGTAAGATTGTTGCCTACAATATATTCTCCAGAGTAGCTTTGCCTAGGCTAATTTAAAATGATGTGAGTGATGGGACTTGCACATTTCCCTTTGGAAGATTATTATACTACTGTAATTTGCATGAAGAACAAATTCTAGCTCAGGTCTGTGCACCGATAGCTTTTATTTTAGAGCATGTGCCTGTGTGTGAAATATGTCTTTAACTACAGACAAGTAATAAAGTAAATGTGATTAGCAATCCAAGGGCATTTGGGAAGATGATAAACTTCTATGTGGAGTTAGTGATTTGAGCACATTTTTAATAACACCATATATTTTTAATAATTTAAGACATATTTACAGCATATGTACAGAGGAATTTCATTTTCAGTGGATGCACTCACTAGTGCACTGCTTTTGACCAGTACTATCAAGTGTATTTGATGAGAAGTAATTCATTTTTTTTTTTTTTTAAAAAAAAGCTCAATGTTTGCATGTGAAGCTATAATTCAGTGTTTCTCAAAGTGGTCCATGAAACCTCTTTGAGAAACATGCTAACCGGCTGAGCCAGTTTCTTTACTTACTGGTGCCATGATCATGGAGCCTTGCAGATCCCATTGGCTCCGGTTCACCGTTTGCAGCCAACAGAATCTGCAGGAAGCAGTGGCCCAGCCCACGCCATTTCATGTGCTTCCCTTTGGCTGCAAATGGTGAACCAGAGCCAATGGAAGCCACAAAGCTCCATGGCTGCGGCACCAGTAAGTAAAGAAACTGGCAGAACCAATTAGCATTTGTCTCAAAGAGGTTTCTTGGCCCACTTTGAGAAACACTGCTATAATGCAACAGTATGGCATGTGGTATCCATATTAGCAAAGGTTCCATGAAATTTCAGTGATTACCATAGCATATAAGTAACTTATTGTAACACGTCCTCTGTATCTGTGCAAGATCATTAAATAGGTGTAATAATTGCATTTACGCAATATAGCAAAATGGTTTATGAAATAGATCATCATAGGTATCCAGTGCATGTGTTGAGCTATACGCTAGATAATTGAGGTTCAATGAAAAGATGGATTAAAGGCCTGGTGGTAAGATTTGGAGTCTTTTGTCTCTAGATCAGTGGCTGAAATTCATCCAGATTGGTAGATACCAGAAATTGTACCTTCTGGTGACTGTGTGGTTTTCTGTGCGAACTGAGTTGATGAGTTTTAGTGATGGTTCCCTGTGCAACAGGTGTCCATATTGTAACGAACCTATTAGGGCATTCATATCAGACATCTGGAGTGAGACACTTCTGACTGATGAAAGAAAGAAGAGGATAATAATACAGGAAATGACCACCCAGGTTCTAAGAGAAGGGTACAGTTTAAATATCTGAGACTAAAATAAAGTTTGAAAGCTCACAGTATGAGATCATTTGTAAAGCTGGTTCCTTGCTTTTTTCTCAGTCCTACCTTGATATCGTGGAAGAAACAAGGGACCCCAAGAAGGTCTACTACAGGCAGCAGACCCTGTGCCAGACTCTGGGAGGAAACCCATGCCCACTGCTCACCATCACTGCTATGCCAGAGTCCAACAGCAGTATTGACCTGGAGCAGTTAAGTAAGTACCTACCTAAAATCTTTAAAGTGAGATAACTAAGGTATTGGCTACTTGTGGGCCTCATATGATGCTTTCCATAGGAAAGAGGGGTGTAAACCATGTTCCCTTGGACCAGATTCCAACTCTTGTAATTCCATTCTGTCATCCTCACTTTCAGTAATAACTTATGGAGTCATGTTTGCATACTTCATGCTATGAAATATTTAAGCTGCTATGTTCAACGCCAGAGGTGGCGGATGTAGAGTGAAAGTATTTCTGTGTAAGATTAGTGAACTTCATAAATTGTTTTGGAATCCTTAAAGATGCAATTGTGTATGTCTTTGCATCATGGAGATCCAGCAATACAATACTATAGGGCTACGTCTACACTGGCACCCTTTTCCGGAAATGCTTAAAACGGAACAGTTTTCCGTTATAAGTATTTCCAGAAAAAGCGCATCTACATTGGCAAGATGCTTTTCTGGACAAGCACATTTTCTGGAAAAGCGTCCATGGAAATGTAGATGCGCTTTTCCGGAAAAAAGCCCCGATCGTCATTTTCGTGATCGGGGCTTTTTTGCGGAAAAGACTACTGTACTGTCTACACTGGCCCTTTTCCGGAACAGTTTTTCCAGAAAAGGACTTTTGCCTGAATGGGAGCAGCATAGTTTTTCCGGAAAAACACTGACAATTTTACAGTAGATCGTCATTGCTTTTCTGGAAAAGCAAGCGGCCAGTGTAGACAGCTGGCAAGTTATTCCGGAAAAGCGGCTGCTTTTCCGGAATAAGTGGCCCAGTGTAGACACAGCCTAGAAGTTTTGGTTTCTGAATTTGCACCCTATCTGACTTCAGCAATACATGGGTACATAAAAGGAACACAGAAATATTAGAGTTGAGTATTACTATGTGGATTGGAGAAGAGGATTTTGCCTTTCTGCTTGCTTCCCTTCTAGTGAGGGTGAAAGTTACTGGTTTCCATTTTGGTTCCAGTTCATAACATAGTGACGGTAGTTACATTAACATTATAGTGTAATTACACTGCAGTTATGTTTTCCTGTTGCAAAGAATTATCACCACTTCTCATCAGGAATTCAGCATTGATATCAAGGTGAAATTTTCAAGCAAAACCAGAGTGTTGCCAAGTTCAACCTTGCAATTAAACTACTTTATCCATTAGAAACTGGAGGCATTGTTGAAAAGGGCTAGAACTTGCTGGTTGCCATGGCTGTTGTTGTTTTTATTGTTGCTACTTTGGTTTGAGTAATTTGTCACTATACCATTTGAGTCAGGTATTTATTTGGTACAATCCTGTTTATTTACAAGGAAGAAACTTTCCATGAACAGGATAGAAACACACAGCAGTCAGTTTCCAAGCCTGCCTTTCCAGCCAGTCCTGTGTCCCGGGGATCTCTGGCCCTTTCACATGCAGATGTATACAGCTCAGTTGTCAATCTCGTAGTTCTTGCATTTGCAATCAGTCCCAAGGAAATCCCTCCAAACATACAGTTTATGTCTGGGTAAGCTTTGCCATGTGGTCTTGTGCAATGAGTGGTGATTTCCTGTTGTGTCCAATTATCCATTCATAAAGGGGTATTTAATTGTGTCATCTCTTTAGCCTGAAATGAAGGGTGATCTAGCACTTCCATCAACGTTAATGAGAACTGTGATTATCTAAAAGAGCTGCATGACATTAACTTCTTCCAGGGTAACAACACTGCAAAAACATCAAACCAAAAAGCTCTGTTTTTATTCTGAATTTTTGTTTTCTCATCAAAACAAACAATTTGATGAAACTGGCACACATTCACAAAGCATTTCAGTATCCCCAAAACAGTTTAATCATAGAATACTAGAACTAGAAGGGATCTCAAGAGGCCATCAAGTCCAGTCCCTGCCTTCACAGCAGGTCCAGGCACTATCTAGATCATCCCTGATAGATATTTGTCTAACCTGTTCTTAAATATCTCTAATAATGGAAATTCCACAAACTCTCTAGGTAATTTATTCCATTTTATTCCAATTTATTAATGTTTCACTGGAAAAAAAATGTGGCTGAAAAATCTCACCCCAACTCTAGTAATGGACTATTTGAATGATCCAAATTCTCTGAACTCATTTGGAAGCTGTTTTGGGCAAGGGTGATAGGGAAAGTCTAAGGTTACTAGCCAATTAGCCCATCATAAGATGGGATTTTCAGGTCTCTCCTTCACGTCGGTCTTCTCTCCTGAGCCTCCGGTCTCTCGCTCCGTGTCTCTCGCTCCATGTCTCTCCTCCTCCTCCTCCTGCTTCCCCCTCACTCTCTCTCAGCTCTTCTCTACCTCCTGCCTCTCTCTCTGTCTCTGTCTTTCTCTTCTCCTCCCGCTCCTGCCTCTCACTAGGGCGACTGCGGAGCCCAAATGGTCGCTTGTGCCACTTGCTCCCACGCGGCGGCCCAGCTGAGCGGCGCAGAAGTCAGCTGAGCACCACTGCGGGAGGCAAAGGGAGGCGGGGTGGTGATGTTCATGGCCAGGGGGCGGGGCCTGGAGCCGCTGTCACGCCGCACGTCACCGTCCTGCCCCCCTTCGTCTCCTGCCATGGTGCTCGGCTGACTTCTGCCCCGCCCAGCCGAGC